TTCGCCACATAAGAAGCGCGGACACTGTAGTGCTGGCTGGGGATCTGAACGCTCAAGTTTGGAAATTATCCACTGATGAGCTGCATCTGAGCGGCCAATATGGTGTAGGCTCCCGTAATGAAAACGGTGAGCCGTTACTTCGATTGTATGAAGACACTCGCTCACTTCTTGCGACTTTTAACTTCGGACGCAGCGCCCAACAGAAGGTGACATGGCGCCCAACAACCTCGAACCAGCCATAGAGGAAAATCGACCACATCGCGATCAGTTATCACTGGAGAGGCTGAGTTCAAAGCGGTCGCTCAATTTGGGTCAACTGTGTGGTCACTGACCACGCAGTTGTATGTGCTGATCTGCGGGTGCGTTTTGGCGGTCGCCCTCAACGACCCTGTGAGCGCATAGACACCAGCCAACTGTCAAAGCCAGGTGTTCTGAATGCGTATGGATGTACACCTGCGTTCGGGTTGAGCGAGCGCTCACTGAATACAGCTGGTCAGTGGTCGCATTTTCAGACCTAACTAGAAGCAGGTAAATCATCATGTGGTAAATCCACTAGCCAGCACAGACACTGCGTCTCTTCGCAGTCTCTGGAACTTAACGATGCTTGCCGGCACATTCCGGCTGGAAGCGAACACAATGAGACTTGTATAGACCTCAGGGCAAAAATCTATGCTAGCTTGAAGAGAGACCACGAATCGTGGTAGTCTCATCGTGCATCAGAGATGGAAGTGGCCGCTACTCTAGGTAACCATCGGAAATTATTCCGCTTGATACGGGAAACGGGCAGTAGGAGACCTGGGTCTAGTGAAACTGTTTATGACGAGAGTGGACAGCACATCCACAACTTGTAAAAACGTTTGGATCGTTGGGCTGAGCGATTTGAAAGGCAATTTAATCAGTCGGAATTGTCAGATTCCTCACCGGTCATTGATCGCCCTACTTCCTGGGCTGTCCCTCTGGATTCGCCCTCTCGCTCAAAAGTCGAACGTAAGATCGGAGTGTTGAAGTCGATTAAAGCCGCGGGACTCCATGAGCTTCCTCCAGCCCTCCTCAAATTCAGAGGATCTGCTCTTGTTAATGATTTGCACGATTTACTGGTGGAACTGTAAGAGCAGGAAACTGTCCCAACCGACTGGAGCCGCTCCGTTATTGTCCCGATTTTCAACGGATGCTCGCGTCCGGAATGCGGCAACCATAGAGGAATCAGTCTAATCCCCATCGTCTCCAAATTGCTTACCTCTGTCATTCTACGCAAAATGACTGCTACTCATGAAAGCCATATACGTGAGGAGCAAGATGGGTTTCGTCGAGGTAGGGATACATCGACCACATGTTCACTTTGCGTCAGTTGTTGGAGTAACGTCACATATATTGGCGGTCCAACGTTGTCGTGTTCCTCGAAATCAAAGGTGCCTTCGATACGGTGGATCGATATGCACTTTGGGACTGTCCACTCAGGAAAGATGTCCGAGAAATATGTACACATCCGAGCGATATACGCGTGTAGATAACAGCAGAATGAGGGATTACGGCAAGCTGTCACACCTTTCAATATCTCCAGCGGTGTGAGACAAGGATGCCCGCTGTCACCTTTCCTCTTCAAGTTCGCTATTGATGAAGTCATGGAAATCGCTTTTACAAAACACGACTTAGAAGAAGTGGAGCTGCTCCCAGGAGAACAACTTCCTGACTTGGAGTATGCTAACGATATTGCCCTCATCCGTGCCAGCTCCCAAACGTGCCAAGCTGCCCTGGACAGATTAGCACTGACTGTAAGCCGCTTCGGGCTTTGCTTTATACCGTCGAAGTGCAAAGCTTTCCTCCAAGATTGACAGGGAACGCCTCCAGCGCTGACCCTTGATGGGAATCAGCTAGAAGTGGTTCAAAATGTCAACTACCTAGGTAGTTGTATCAGCGTCGTAGGAAATGAGGACGAGGTCACAAACCGGATAGCAAAAGCAGGAGTCGCTTTTGCTAACCTTCGCCACCTATGACGTTGGCACATCATTCTCTTCTTGAAGGGCAAAGTGTACAATACAGTCGTACGTTCAACTCTCCTTTACGACTGAGAAACCTGGCCCATTAGATCAGCCGACATAAAGAGGCTAATTGCGTTCGACCACCGGTGCCTTTGCAGTTTGGCTCACATCTGGTGGGAACACCGCGTGAGTAACGAGCGTGTTCGACGCCTTGTTTGCGACCCGGAATAAGGAAATGTGCCGCTCATTACAGTTATTTCACGCACCAGGTTCCGATGGCTGAGCCACCTGTTGCGCATGCCAATCCACCGACACATTCTACGTGCGTTGTTTGCGCGCCGGGTGTGCGGATGGAAGAAGAAAAGGGGTGGCCAAGAGGAATGAAGGTCCTCACTTCGAAACTGGCCTTGATTGGAGCGTCTCGGCTCCCTGGTTGGGGTCCGAAAGACGATGAGCACGTTCGGCTGGATACACTTGCTGACATTGCTAGGAGCCGGCCTCAACGGCATTTGTATTGTGAGTTTCTTTGTTCCTCCTCCTTCCGTTTAGCCTCCCCTCCAACCGGGATCTCAATCATTAGGTATAGTATAACTTTTTTGCGGCACAATAGCCAGTTGTTATCTCTCCGGAACTATGCCCATCCGTTACTAGTGAATTAGCCAGCGTGACACGGTCGCATGTTTTTGCTTTTCTTTTGTATTGCGGAACAATAACTATGTTTTCCACCTGCAGTTGAAGTGTACAATGATGATGATCAGGGTAGCAAGCTTATCATTTTTGTTTAGAAAATGAGCAAAGATGGCGCTTTGCAACGCACAGATACACGGCACGTTTGGAGTATTGGGAAAATTGCTTCGACGTGTGGTTGCATTTGTCCTAGAATCATGAGTCACCCGCCACTTGAGCAGTGGGTAAGTAAAAAGGCCAAAAAATTCACCCTTTAGACCAGAAGACTTTTTCGCTCAGATGATCACACCAGTTCGACGATTTTAGGGGTAGAGTACTGGCGTACAAGAAAACCTCCCTGATTTCGTGAAAATATGTCGAATCAGTTTCTTAAGATAATCAGCTTGGAGATCGTATTTTGTCATAAAGGACTTAATTCCGATTGTTTCATCTGTACTGGAAGTTGCACATGTGTGCCTTTTCACTCAAGTGTTATCCCAAGGTAGTCGATGTCAAACATGTGAAGTGTTATTTCTGGATGGGATTGCCCCGTCACTTGTATGCAGCAATCCAGTAAAACAACCTGAACTAGACACACGGCACACGTTTCTGATAAAGCTGACGGAGAAGATTAAGGGTAATAGAAAGGCTCGAAAATACTCCAAGACCTAAGCTGGACGATGTGAGCCGGAGGTTGGAACGTCGAACTAAAAATGGCACGAAAAATTTGAACGCTCAGCCGAAAATCAGAGGCATGGACTCCGATCAGTAAGTGTTAAAGAGACGCTTACCGTAGTCGCAGCTACTAACGGAGCAGTGTATTCATCTGCTGAGGCCAATGAGTGAAAGATGCCGCTCACAACCTAGCACATGGCATCAGTCATTCCGACATCGTTCATGATAATTAAGCCGCACTCGTTACATATTACCACATCGCTTAGTTCAACATACATCGCTTTCATAGAACGCATCCGGTAAAGTGGAATTGTAGGATGGTGAGATGACACGGAGAGAGAGTGTGAAAGAGCAAATGATTGAGTTGCACTAAAGATAATCTTCTCACTGGATGAAGGCCAGAGGATAATTCATGATTGACTGAATTCGCCCGCTTTGGCGAGCCAGCCTCGTTTGTTCTAGCTCCCGGATTCTCAGTGTGCTGCATCCGTGATATTATGCCGTCGTGGTTCATGATAGCTAACAAAACCGTACGTCTGAGAGTAAATCACGGCACATATACCGAGGTATACCGTACAAAGAAGCGCGAGGCGTCGTTGATCTTTTCAATTGAGGTGGTGGTCTACTCAAAGTCAGGCAGGCCGGTGAACTGAGTAACTAGGTAAGTTAGGAAATGAAGGATATGTGAGGAAAAAACGATCTCTGTTAGAATGGTCAGAAAAAATCGTCTAATAACAAAGGAAAAAAGCCAAAGAAGGCAGAAAAGTGTCTAAAACAGGCAAGGGAGGTAGCGCAAGCAAGTAAAGAGCGGAGCGGTAAGGTGTTAGACAAAGAGTGGATGCTGACTACACACATGAAAATCCGCAAGAACATAGTATGGAAGAAATATGGTACCGGGCCAGATAGTTCCACCTTTATAGTGCAGAATATCAGATATCTGCGGATTCCCACTGTTATACTACCGATGCACACAGACTGAATTATCAGCCTGAACTGAACGTGCCTGTGACGAGCAATTCTGACCGGGCACCAGCCAATATGTAGCATCGCCCACCCCGATCCAATATTGTGCTGGAAGGTTACACCAACGCGACTGAAAAATGCCCATTGAGCTCAACAAGTATTGAGCTGAGCGTACAGGCTGTTTACTGCAGGTATCAAAAGCACACTATATCGATGCTTCGCCGCCACACCAACTATCAGCGGTTGCACGCTGGCTGGGATACTGTGGGATTGTCAGCTAGTATACAGGCTCGAACTACTTTAGGAACGCTCGAAGGGCATCGGCGAAATGCCGACAACCTCATGCCAAGGTCTGGCTGACACATAAAAACAGTGTGAATGCATGCAGCTGGGTTGCGATGAAGTGCTCCGAACGCACATAAGTCCGAACTGGTGAACTGCAGATTACTAGCAGAACACCTGAATCGTTCTACACCATCGGCAAGGCAGCCACATGTATGAAACGATTGCATACCTTCATGGGTCCGTTAGCGTATCGAACAACCGCAAAAGGCAGAAATTCAATTTACCAGAACCAGATAAACGCAGAAACGTCCGATGATCCAAACGTTGTCATGACTGGGGGTCCCACTGGTATGTGAAGACGGAACTGGATACTTGATAAAACGACCAAGAATAAACAGCACCAACAACATATAAGAAATATTAAACGCTTACTGATGAGTGTGTTATTTCGGATAGTTCTTGACGACGAATACCCGTAAGTTCGGGGAAAGCTATTTCATCCGCGATTGACAGGCGAACGTCGTTAGACGTTTGTGTGGTCGCAATTTGATCTCCAGTTGCTGTCAGAGTTATGAAAGGAAAAGTAGGCATCGCAATCAGATTTAACTCACAATATTAACTTGCCTAACGCGAAACTGCACTATTGGTATGGCGGTGGCAAATATGCGGAACTGGGAGTCCCAAATTCATCATACGGGAGGCACAAAAAAGCAATGTAGGAACACGATTCAACTAAATACCACTGAATCCGCAACGGAAATATATGATACAAGGTGTGAAGAGTAGAATGAGCCTATTCGTTGGCAAACAAAACGCAGAGCGAAGAGATGAGTGGGTCAGTACACACAACAAATGTACAACCGATTACGGCCAGGCACAGTCGATCGACAGCAGCGTTCCTATCTGATACAGAGAATGAGATGATGTACATGAGACGGAAGGCAATTTTTGAAGTGAAGCACCCAAGGGGCAAATAAACAGCCCATTTGGGTGCGGAATAGATGACAAAACCAAAGTAAAGTAAACATATAGGAACCAACGGAGGCGGAGATAGTTATGTAAGAGAAGTACGACAGGAGTCAAGACATGCAGCCAAATAGAACTGGAGTTTGGGACAGACGATATATCGAGAAGCAATCTTCCTGTGCATCTATCTCATGGTGTAACTCAAAAGAAAAGTAAAACTCGGTTATATAGGTCGATCCCCCCCCCCCCGCGATGTGCAGCCAATTATCAACAATGCGCGAAAGATCGACAGATACAGCAGACCTCACTCAGGAATACAAAAACGGAAAGGAAAACTCCACGTAACATTAGTGAAGTCTTAGCACGATAATAACCACATCTGAAGCATCAGAGGATGCAGCAGAGGTAGCAATCAGTCCGTGTGTTAATCACCAGAAGAAGTAAACTGAAATGAGGACGCGTCGAACCAGGAAAGATGATTGTAGACCGAGAACACAACAGAGCAAAATAGCATCTGTTCTGGTAGACACGAGCGATCAAAGACAACTCTGATGCACTTAGTTCTATGCTTAACGTTCACCAGGCATAAAAATCAGAAGGTGGATATTGAAGTTGGCAGTCCAGTTCAGTGCGATGGATTCAGGTGCAAAGACACGTCGCCAGAAGAACAAAAGCAAAAGCGAGGTTGGATCCAAATAGAACACAAAGAAAATGGAAGCAAGAAGGAGACACGATAAAGTAATCAAAATGGAACGAGTAGTAACAGCTAGATGGAGGAAACCGAATGCAGAAATGTCAATGAGTGAGCGACTGCGCCATGCCTGATAAAGCCTCCAACCAATGGTGTGAAGCATCCAGGGCCCCCATCCACGAAGATGGCATGTCGAAGGGTGAACAAGTCTCTCGGTCAGTATCCTCGTGCCCCTATTCCACCTCATCGAGTGGCCACCTCGCGGTTTCGCCTAACTTGGTGTAACCACGACGTATAACGAATGTCGAAGAAGTCAACGGGCATACGGAGAACATGGCCTTACCAACGTAAGCGGTTAACATTTAGCAAACACTCGAGTGAAACAACAGGTGTCTTGACAAAACTCAACTGACCGGTCTCAGCATTTCCCAACCGGTGATCCCACCAGAAGTGAGCAATACGCCGCAAGCATCGGTGAGCACACATGGCCAATCGTTTAATGTTTTCGCCGCGAACTGGCCATGTCTCTGATCCATACAGTAACACTGGTCTTATCGCAGCGTTATACATTCCACCTTTACTGACAGACTGATATCCCGTCGTCTCCATATATGGTCGAGTCTCTAGAAAGCCACACAGGTTTTGCTGATACGAAAACCAACATCCACAGTGATGTGATCACTAGTGAACCAATCCACCACTTCCCGCGGCTGTTCGCTGATAGCTAGAACCGGTAGCGTATCGGTTCAGTTCCGCACCAGTACTTTGCAAGTTGAAGGTGCAAAGTACATGCCGAAGCACGTAGTACTACGCAGCAGGTGACGCAGCAACGTTTGCAGTTGCTGCGTCAGACCCATGAAGAACAATTTCGGCCGCACACTCTTTGTCAGTCCGTCACCTGGTGGAACTACCACCTCCGTAGGGTCTGAAAGACCCGAGTCATTTATGATCATTTCGATCACAAAGTTGAAGGGGAAAGGCGATATATGGCCACCTTGGTGAAACCTAGTTGTCGTGGAGAACTCAGGGAACAGCTTACCGTAGACCCTTACATCACCTCGGGAATCATCATAGAGACTCCAAAACGGAAAGAAGCTTAGCTGGCAGCCCTTCATGTACAAGCAGCGTCACAAGCTGGCGCGGTCAACAGAGTCGAAGGAGGCTTTCAAGTCAGGGAAAATCACTATATTCCGTCGCATGTATGTGTCTTCGCCCCAACACTTGGCGTAGGATAAATATGCGGTTGACGCAACAAGCAAGGCGGAAGCCAGTCTGGCATTCAATGATTCGTCTTTCACGATGACCAGTAAGTCATGAAAGAATGATACCCGTGAGGAGTTTGGAGTCAATGGAAAGTATGCTAATGCCTCGATGATTTTCGCACAAAGTACACCAACCCTTTTTGAACATGGACACGACAATTGACAGTCGCCCGTTTGGAAACACCCGTTTAGTGTCACAAATCGTGTTAAATAAAGAAGCAAGTTCAGTCAACAGAATCACCTCCATCTTTGTTGAAAGATGGAGGAAAGTCGTCGAGTTCGAAAGTCTTGATTCATTTCAACATCGCGAGCTCACGTTGAATCTCTTCCAAAGTGGGAGGTGTGACATCAACTCAACTGATTCGGTAAACTGCGGTGTCGCAGCAGGCTTGTTGAATTGCTCTTCAAAACGTTCCGCTCGCCGGGTTGGTCGACGAAGCTGGGAATATATCAATCGCCTATTTTTCTGTTAATGTCACACTAACTGATGGCTTTCTCGGACTTATGTTCCGGATGAGCTGGAATAACACTCGGCTTTTCCCAATAGCACTGGTTTTATCCATCTCACGGGCCCTTGTCACCCAGCAACGTTACCGGACAATTCGTAGGTTCCTTGTCAAACGTTTCAGGGAGCAATGAACACGCTGAAACTCAATGCCTATTGGAAGGCGTTTATGCAATGCGATCGAGCTGATTAGTGCCTCTGGGACTCATTTACAGTTCGGATGTCTCAACCTGGGTGCACAGCAGGTGACAAAGCCATCCTTGATGGCACATTTGAGACGACTTCAGTCAGTGTTTGGCTCATCAACCGCATTCATCACTGACAATTGGTGGAACATTCAGTTATGATATTGTTGAACAGCAAATTGCGAGTTCAAGTCCAAAGTAGGAGGTACAGGAAGTATGCGCTTCTTTGAGGCCGGAAGAGTGAACACCGAGTACGCGCACTAGAGTATGGTCGGAATTCAGGCACACGCTTCAAATGGACTGATAGTGTTGGAATGATGTGTGCCATAAATGGCTCATGACAACATGGCCAATTTGAGTCCAGGTCATGTAGAAATTCGGTGGGCGCCACATGACGCGATGCGAACGTTTGTGTTGAAAAACAGTGCTGCTACTATAGAGAGTGTAGTCGGCACCGAGTTGCAAATATCGAGCACCATTATCTGTTCGGCGTGCACTGACCCCGAAGCGGCCTCCTAGATGTTGTGAAGAGTCTGAGTGACGACATACTTGGGCATTCATGTCACGAGCAACAATCACGATGTCAGTATTCGCTATGCGGAGAAGAGGCGAGAGATCACGGTAGAAATCGCCTTTGATACCCTCTAAACTGAATTCCGCACCAGCAGCTACTTAACCACTAGAGAGATTTGGAATATAGCCGCAAACATGAGACTGTTCACTGGTATCCAGTCGGGTAAATAGTCTACGCATGTTTGCTGAAGGCAATACCAACAAAGTAAATACCCAGAGTCATTGACTCAGTATCGCTAGACACCCTAACAGTGTAGCCATCACCGTCAAATTCAGAACAAGGAAGTCGAAGGTTTTTCACAACGCTGTTACTTGTTCACCTATTTAGGAGGCACAGTACACATCAATAAGAAGAGTGAAGGGTGAGAGCTAGCGCTGGCTGTTGACCAATCTGACTCAGTGTAAACGTTAAAAGGACCATGAGAAATGAGATCCTCATCAATCATCATCATCATCAACAACAACAACAACAACAGTACATCAGCCATTTGAACTGATGCTTCGCTGCCATACAACCATAATGACCTATGAAATAAAGAATAAGAAGAGGGAGAGAAGGGGGACTTACCTGAAAACCTCAGTGCCCTAAGCAAACATTCAGGGTCAAGGCGCCTACACCTTGTGTAGACAACATACCGTCACAAACAGCTGGCTATCGTACAAAGATAAGGCGGCATCGGCGAGACAGCTTCCTTGCGGCGTGCACTGCCACGCGTCATAATCAGCCATTACCCAGCAGATAACTCAGCACCAAACACACTTTAAACAGGCAATCCAAGTAGGAGGCGGCAGCAGATGTGCCACTGGTGTTTACTACGAGCCATGTCCTGTAAAGTCTCGAGCCAAGCACAAGACGAGTCACGTAGACTCCAACCCGGAAGGAGAGACGGACAAACAGCACCCAGTTTGGTCGTCAGTGACTTCATTTCCCGCCGCCAAGTAAACTACTGTCCACCTCGAGCCTTGCGCCACCCTACACCTGGCAGACCAAACAACGCCCTCCTTGGTAAGCGGTGACCAGGCATACGTAGCATGTGCCCGAGCCAGCGCAATTTATTCAGTGCTATCTGTTGTTCTTGGGAGCTAGCATGATTATCACCACCTAGTACTCGCCTACGCCCATGATCGTTCCAGACACGCTGATTCCATCCGACACCAGCAATTCTTCACAGACAACGATGATCAAAGACTTGAAGGCGCTTCAGATTTTCAGACCGATGGGACCAAGCCTCACTAGCATAGAGTAGGCGGCCCTCACTGTGGCCTTGTATACACGGCCTTTCAGATGGAGGGGAACTCCCTTCTGTCGCCAAAGATGCCGCAGGTTCAAGAAGGTAGCTCTGGCTTTTGCATTGCGTGAGCTGACGTCAGTTTCTATGCGCCCATCATTGCTGATGCAGCTGCCAAGATAAGTGAAATGATCAACCACCTCGAGTTCCTCGTTAGCAAGGGTCATAAAGTAGGTTGTGGTCCGGCAGCAACACTTTGCACTTTGAAGGTGTGAAGTGCATACCAAATAATGGGACCACTCTGGACAGGCTATTCAGAGTTGATTGTGCCGCCGCAACATGGTCGAAAAGCAAGACGATATCGTCCGCATAATCGAGATCAACTAATCTTTCACCACGCAGCACTTCAACGTCTACATCGTGAGATTCCGCACGGGAACACTCCATGATAGAATCCACGACGAAATTGAACAAAAATGGGGAAATCGGACAATCCAGACGAACGCCAGTTGGGGTCGGAAAGCCATCCGATAGAACATCGTAGACTCTGACGCGGCTTGTAGTGTTCGAGTAGAGAGCACGAAGGATGTTCACATATTTCGTGGGAACACCTTTCCGCGCAAGTATTTCGAGCAGAATGCATCGAGCGACTGAATCGGACGCACTCTTGAAATCAAGGAAAACAATCATTGTCGGTCTGCGGTAGGTGTGGCGCTGCTTTATCACTTGCCGCAAAGTAAATATCTGGTCTATACAGCCACGTCCTGGGCGGAAACCGGCCCGGTCTTCCCTAATCCGAGATTCCCGTTCCACAATGAGGCGACGAACGAGAACCGAGGCCAATAATTTTGTCACAACTGGCGTTAGGCTAAAACCCCTGTAATTAGAACAGTTTGTGTGTATATTACCACAGTAATCGAATCGCTCCAATCAGCCGGGTACTCTACCTTCCAGATACATTCGAATAAAGAGGTCAGTGCTTTGCAGAGGACCTCACCTCCATCCTTAAATAGTGCAGGTGGGACGGAAACCGAGCTACCAGCACGAAAACGATTAAGGGCTGTGATCGCGTTTCGGACCTCGGCATCCGACGGAGTCTCTAAACTAACCGTCCATGGCTCATCCTGCGTCACCTGAGTAGGAAGAGGTCCGGGAACAGGGGGCCAGCTGAACTGCTCTTGAAAGTGTTCCGTCCAACGAGCCATACGGCGCTCCTTATTGTGTCTCAGTGCACCCGCGCTGCCTCTGCTCGTCTCACTGATGCCTGGTTTCCCGGGACCAGAGGAGCGAACCAGCTGGAAGAGCTTGCGGTAAGTGCCTACTGCTCCTGCCTCCTCCATTTCTTGAGCCCGACTGGTCCACCAGGCTTCCTTGTCAGCACGTAAACTCCGCTTTAGTTCACGCCTAATAGCCCGTCCGGTCACATTGTGCTCAGAGCCAGCCGGGCGGTTTCTTCTAGATTCCAACAGTTTACCGACCTCTCAGATATCCAGTGAGTGGTGCGGTGACGATGGCTAGTGCCACAAGCAGATGCTCCTGCGTCGTGCATGGCGGCCGAGATCCTATTCCATTGAAGCTCAGTGTAATCAGAACAAGACAGTTCGGTATGCAGTGCTTCTTGATGGGCTTGCCTGACCGAGGGCTGACACAATTTATCAGTTGCCAATCAGAGGAGCTGCTTGGTGCGCCTCCCAGTAAAGTTCATGGAGAAACGACAGCGTAACAAGACATGATCAGAGTCGACGCAGGTACTCCAGTATGAGCGTCAATCCAGGATGGAACCACGCCACCTGTAACTTATGGCGATGTGGTCAATTTGGGTCCGTTGCTGGCCAGCTGCAGGGAGACGTCAAGTGGCACTCGGCGCCCACTGTGTCTAAAAGCAGTGCTACTAAGAAACAACCAGTGCTCCGCACACAGTTGCAGCAGACGCTCACCGTTGTCAGTGCGTTCGGAGTTAAGCCCACAATTACCACCCAGCTGAGCTTCTGAAGAGCTCAGACGCCCTACTTGTGCGTTCATATCCCATGCAAATACTATAATATCTGAACTAGCAGCACTGCGTAGTAGCGCGTTCAGTTCGTGATAGAATGTGTCCTTGATAGCATTAGAACTGCAGACGGTGAGAGCATAAACTGAAATCACAAACAAACAGCGTTTTGTATTACTTCGTGAGTCAGACTTAGCTGATGTCGTCAAACGTGCTGCACATAAACGGCTGTTCACCGGAATCCAATCAACCAACGATGGCTCAGCCTTGGAGCCTAGAGTGATACCTACACCAGCTTGACCCGTGAGTGCTGCATCGGCGTCTCCGGATGCGTGCAACCAATAACGAGAGGATAAGCCGGGTGCAGTTAATTCAACAACCCCGTTAGACTCATTGATCCTAGTTTCGGACACACAACACACAGTGTGTCCAAGGTGCGTGCGAGTGTAGCCCGTTGATCTATTTATCTTAGAGTGCGAATGTTGAATGTCGCCATGGAAACGGGACAGCGTGACCTTATAAGGGACTGCTGCCGATAGGTGCTGTGGGATGGTGGCTGCAAATGGTTCTACTCCAGTGGCACTTCGGTTGTTGTCAATTAAGCTGGGAATTATAGAAGGAAGGTTAGTGGTGGGGGTCGGGATGGGAGTAAGAGAAACAGGTGGAAAAGAAAGAAGGGAGGCGCCAGCAGTAGCATGTTTTCGTTTATCCGCTTTGCTGTATGCAGCAGATAAGGCGACCATTGAGAATCTGCGCGACGGCCGATGCAGAATGGTTTATGTTTGAAAAAAAATCATGGTTGTATGTGGAATGGGATACTGCCAGAGCACCCAGACCTAGACAGGAGGACGAATAGGGTTCTCAACCAAAGCCTCTGGCTCAAAAGCCTGTCCGCAAGGTAGCGGGGAGGTGGCAATGATTTAGTTTTACAGAAATGGACGCCATCCCATTTCAAACCCCCCAACCTAGAGGACCAGGAGACTGAGTTTGTCTGACCTCTCACCATTGACCAACCTGGTAGCAGCATCTCTCAAAGGGCCCGCAGGCACCACCCAGTATAGCTCAATGGGTCAAGGAGGTACGCAAACGCACCAAGTTAAGGCCCAGCCTCGTTTGATGAAAGAGCTGCATGTATCGATGACAGCAACTGTGAGGTCAACCGGCAGGCTCTTGCTCAATAGGTGCGGAGGAAGATGGTTGAGAGGGGGAAGAAAAACTAGAAGGGAGTGCTGTTGATAAGGTTGATGGAAGATGATACTCTCCGGCTGCCCATTCCGAGAGAGGGGTTTTGTTTGAGGTGTCCTACCTTTAGCTTTTGACTCAACAGTTTGACCCACGAGACAGTGTGGTACATGGAGGTTCATTTAAGAGACTCCACTCGGAGTCTTTGACTCAGTAGCCTGATCCACAAGGTAATGAGGAGCAAGTCAGGCTCGGGAATTTGATTGTAGGGATGCATTGAAATCTGCTTGAGACCTGTTACACACACCCTTTGAAGGTTTAGAACAATGCACTTATGTTTTACGACCGCAGTATGGTACGCAACAGTGGCCATGATCAGCCGCCGGTTTGCACCAACTGGACCAGGGTCTGCCTGGTTTGAGGCGGGCGGTAGCAAACCATTAAACAGCGGAAAGTGCCATCCCATCGTCAGAGACAATACCCGTGCTGTACGCCAATCGATATGTAGGCTTATAACCCGTAGACCAGTTGTCTCCCGTGGCCAGGTTCTAAAAGAAGAGGGCCATCGACTTCTCCCTAACTTCTGAAGAGGAGTGGAGTGTGACACTGAGTTGGTGTGACCCCTAACTCTTGATTTGTCTGGTATGAGTGGCTCCGAAAGTATTTGAAAAGGGCGACCCAGTGTAGCTCAATGGGTCACGGAGGTATGCAAAGCATCACATCCTGTTAAGGTCCAGGCTCGACGCGATTGGCTTGGAGAAGCTTGCGTGAATAGAGTTTTGGATGACGAGTTAGGAGGCACACTGACTTTATCACGTGTGCACAAAGATCCGTCTCAACGAGGCAGGATTGGTAAAAAAGCGAAAATTGGCAGCTCAGGTTGTTCTGGTGGCAATCGAACTGTTCGCTGAGATTGGCAGTTTTGTTGCAGACGTTTCGTTACCAATCGTGATGACATCATCAGTGCGTTGTTGATAAGGATGTCCTTTCGATTAGTGACAAAACGACTGCAACAAAATTGCCAAGCTCAGCGAACAGTCTGACTGCCACCAGACTAAGAAACAATCGGACGCTTCAACAGTTCAATCAGTAATAAGCAAGAGTAGCTGTGGGCAATAAACATTGTAGCTAAGTCGCGCAAGACGTCAAGGCGTTAGGAAGCAAAAACAGCACGGAACCACCAAGTTTAAGAGACGGTAGACGTTCCTCGAGTTTGTGAGTACCGATCAGATGGTACAGTCAAAATGCGGGAGCGACCGCACATCGGCGATGGCAATTGGTTAATGGAACACATACATTATTGAGTATTGAACTCTGAGTATATGGAATAAGGTTGGGAGACAAAACAAGTCTGGCAACACACCTGTGGTAACCGACGACGAATTCATCGACAGTCTTGAAAGCCGGTCGCGAATATTCACTAAACTGGCGCATAAATCTGTGGTCATCACCCCGACATAAGCCGAATCATCACTGGAATATAGACAGGAGGCAAAGTTGACAGGAGATTAGTTTCGGGGTTGATTAGTTCGTATAATATTGAAAGTATTAACTGAAGTAGGTTAATCGGATGGTTAGTGAACAATTGCGAAAGTGAAACAGTTAAAAGGAAGAAGAGAGCATAAAACGCTAGCCAGGAATGAGGCCAAGCGAAACCGTTATCGAATTTAGTACGAAGTAACTGGACCTATTTAGTTTGGAAACTAGTTGATAAGACCCAAATTAAAGCATAGACGAGTGTAGAAAGTCAATGTAGTATGTGAAACAGTGTCCTTATATTATAGGTATGTGCAGCATGTCACACAAATAAAAGGACCTTGCTTTGTCCTAAGTTAGGTGGTGCTGGCGGACTGAGCACACCAACCTACCAAAAGCATAGTTATAATTCCAACAGTCCCCGGTACCATTCCTCATTCATCAAGAGGACCAAAGAGTACTTTAGTAGCGATGTACAACTCAGATGAAAATCGCTTCCATCCGACCATTATCATGAGGTGGACAGCTGTTTATATATGATAGCTTCAGGCGAAACAAAGCCGGCGCGAACTGCTCCAAATAGATGACCACGTGATGCTGTAGTCAAGTACGAAAGTGCAGTTATATTTCCCAGTAGATCGAGACAATTTGAGGTGGCCCAGCTACAAAGAGCAGTCGCGAAAAGAGTCCCCGGATCGTGAAATTGACATCACGGGAGCACTGTTTAAACTAAATGACTCAAGTGTAATTGCAACATCACGGTATGTTAACGGAAAAGATGCTATCATTGATAAGATTGTCATTTAAACAGCGGGGTCCTGAGTCACAACATGCAGCATTCGCGTTCTGCCCATGTTAACAAAAGTGTGCTCGCTGAAGGCTGGCGTTCTTTTGTAACCCACGGGAATAAAATATAGCTGAAAGGAATATCATCCATTTGAGATCTATCCAGCAAATAACGCTCATGTGACTATATGAAACGTGGAGATTTATTAAAGCACCACATACGAGGTGAAAATAATTAAGTAAAGAGGTAAGAAACCCAGGTAAATGTAGGGAATAGTGATTTTTCACTTATTCACCTTACTTTGTGGTACCGACAGGGTGAGTCCTTTGAAAGTAACAAAACAGAAAAAAGGCATCGGCAGTAAGCCGGTACGCGGTACCAACGCTTTGCTGCGGCGCAACCACCATCTGTTGCATGTGGGCTAAGAATGCTGCGACGGTCGCAGGTTTGAACCAGTACTCTCGGAGTATAAGTCGGGCTTGCGATTCTTAAAGCTGCGGACCGGCGTATGAGGTGAATGGGCAATGTATCAACGTTCGGATAGAGCAAGGCGCGGTCTTCCACATGATAGGGGGAATAAACAACAAGCATGTGACCCAACAGGCTCAGTGATACAAGTACAACCAAACTGCAGGGACTATGCGCCCCATGTGTCATATGAACTGCAGTGTTGACATGCAGAAGTAAGAACTAAACTACATAAAAGCCCAAATCTGTAGCAGGGTGCGGTGTCTGGCCTTTAGCCAATGACCAGTCTTGTAGAAGCAGATTTTAGGATGTCCAAGTAAACCAGCCACAATGCAGCTTAACAGTTTACGTTGGTGCGCAAGCTGCCGAAAGAAATTAGGGTAAATACTTCAACACATCTATAGGCTGTTTGTTGTTGACCGACACAGATTTAGAATAAGCAAGAGGGCTATCCAAAAACAATTGGTGCAGCGGTCAGATTATTGTTACTCGCCGGTCACTTACTAATAACCCATCTTGGCACACTACCAGTGTTAGCCACCGTAGGATCTGTGAGATCTAAAACTATCCTCTCAGTATACCGGAAAGCATTGAGCCCCCCCCCCCAAAAAAAAAACAAATCGTGATCGCATATTTAAACGAAGGCTCCAAACGGTCAGATACGAATTTGCGCCAATTTCTCGACGGGTTTAAACGCCGTATGGAACGCTCTTTACCACTTCCAGATGATCTGTTCGCAAAATTGAATAGAGGTAATTGTTTCGCAAAGCTGGATCACTCTGATGTATACCTGTAGATAGAGGTACATGAAGCTTCACGAGAATTACTCACTATCAATACGCATCAAGGCTTGTACCAGTATCACCGTCTCTCGTTTGGAATCAAGTCTGCACCAGCCATATCACAGCATATCATGGACACAATGCTGACAGATGCCGATGGAGCATTCGCATACCTGGACGACATCACTGTCGTCGGAGGCAGTGCTGATGACTTATTCGCAAAGTTGGATCGAGTTCTTAGCCGTGTTGAGGAATATAGATTCGGACTTTGACCTGAGAAGTGTACGTTCTTTATAGACTCGATTACGTTTCGCGGCTTTATACTCGACAAGAAGAGCAGACGTCCAGACCCAGCGAATATAGAAGCAATCAAGAAGATGCCACCGCCCAAGGATGTGAAAACGCTAAGGTCCTTCCTACGATTCGTAAGTCATTACAACCCGTTCCTACAGCAAACGCATAGTCTGCATGGCCCATTCAATGACCTACTGTGAAAGACTAAACGCTAGGACTGGTCCGAAGAATGCCAGAGATCATTCGAGGTAAAAAAAAGGCTGCTATGTTCCGATCTTCTACTAACACACTAGGACCCTATGTTGGAAATTGTGCTGGCCGCAGATGCCTCGAAGTATGGCATTGGTACAGTCATAGCCCACAAATTCGCAGATGTCTCAGAAAAAGCAATCGCACATGCAGCCAGATCGCTGTCTCCCGCCGAGTGAAATTACAGCCGGATAGAGAAAAGCCTTGGCAATAGTCTTCGCTGTAAAGGAATTTCACAAAATGCTGTATGGAAGAAAGTTACCATACTTACTGACCATAAGCCGCTATTGACAGTTTTCGGATCAAAGTAGAGCATCCCTGTTTATGCAGCAAACAGGTTGCAGCGGTGTGCTACTACATTACTCGGCTAGGAGTTTACAGTGAAACACATTTCTACAAAGGACAATGGTCAAGCTTATGAGCTTTCCCGGCCATTCGAAAGCCAGCAGTGCAAGCAAGAGAAATCCATCATTGCAACGATATATCTGGAGTCAGAAGGGAATCAGGTATTGTTAGAAACGCTCAGAGGGCTTCCGGTAACTTTTGAGATGGTACGTGATGCAACGATGCACGATCCTGTCCTACAACAAGCGGTCAGATTTCCTACTACACAGTACCCAAAGGACAACCTAGATGGGGAATTGCAAAATTTGTTCCGGAGAAAAGATGAAAATATCCAACGTTCATGGATGCTTATTTTTAGCGGAGAATTGTAATTCTTAGGGAGCTTCGCCAAAGAATTCTGCGGCAGTTTCATCGTGGACACCCTGACAGCAACAGAATAAAAATGATTGCGCGGAGTCACGTTCATTGGCAGAATGTCGACTCAGAGCTGGAACAGCTGGCAAAATCGTGCCCGAAATGTGAGCTTGCCAGCCACCCGCCCAGGAAAGCGAAGCTGTCTTCTTGACCGTTGTCAACGATGGGATCGAGCACACGCGGATTTCCTTGATCCCGTAATGGACGGCCATATCTCACTGTTGTGGATTACTTCAGAAAGTTGCCGGAAGTGTTCTGCATGGAACGCACAAGTGGCACAACAAGTGGTATACTGAGAAGACCTCGCCCAGCGTGGAATACCAGAAACCCTGGTCAACGACAATGGCCGTCAGTTGGCCAATTCGCGGTTCGCCGAATACAGTACGCAGAACGGTATCACATACCTACGCTCGCCGCCGTTTCACCCGCAGTTCAATGAGCAAGCGGAGCGTTTTGTTGATACGTTTAAACAAACGCTGCTGAAGATGAGGAGGAAGGAACTACCCAAGAGATATCGGATGTTTTCCTTCTAGTGTACAGATCAACACTGAACTCTCAGGTGCGAAATCAGCTGTTCCCAGCAGAAGCGCTGATGGGTAGGAAACTCCGTATTCTGAATTCCTTGCTGCTTCCGAAGCGTATCACCCCGCGAGAGAGGAAAACAGGGATGGAAAATTACTTCAATCAGTGGCACATGACTCAAATATGTCTATTTCAGCCAGGGCAGTGGTTTAGTCAAAAACTATCGCACTAAAAAACAACAGCGGACCATAAACTGAATCCACTGCAGACTTGGACGCTTTGCATAAAGTTCGAGTGGGTGTCATGATTTGGACTAGACATGCAAATCAGCTGCGGCCTACCAGCATTCAGAGAAGTACCAGCGAACGATCGCTGCCATTGGATATTCTGCTGGACAATTTCCACATACACCCTGGAACTCAGGATCGACATAATGAGCCTTTCCTGATGATCACGAAAGGAAGGACTTTGCAGCAACGACGATGGACTGATCGGATACTGAGATCTGTGGTCAGAATGCAGCTGGGTCGCAGGAGGAAGTCGTAAGTCGCTTTTCACTGATGCTTTGGAGGATCATTAGTAGCAGTCCTAGAAACCAGCTTTCTCTAAAGTATCCCGGAGAAGATTAATCGCACGCCACCTGAATCTCATTAGCTAGTCAATGGCATTGTTTTACCTCGAAGTGGACCAATGGGAATGAGGTGACGTGAAGCCTTTCAGTAAGCGCACTACTGGAACAGCCAACTAGCGGGTTTTTGCGCATCTAGTAGTTAGTCAGGTTATCTGAATTGTCATTATTTCATGAACTAGTTAGTTTGACTCCATAGTTTGGCTGTACATAATGTCTTCCGGGTGCTCCACACAATTGCCGCTAGAGGCCATTGTGAAGTTATCAGTTACTGTCAGCGAAAACATCGTTGTCCCCCTTTGTATGTGTTGGCTGTTGCTTTCGGTAGTAGATCTTGTAACCGGGCCTCTGCTAGCAACTCGTTCCTCGTGTCGAGGGCTAGTAATGGGTCCTACGCACGAGACGTACAGTCTGGGGCGATCGCTGGTCATGGTACATTTAGCGGTTCTTATGTTCTTTGACTGTGATTATGGCGTTTTGATGGAGCACTCAATGTCGTTACTCCGAG